ATTGTTAGAGTTTTTGTATAGTGAATGTATAAGAAAGTGTGTGTTATGTTGTGAGAGATGATAGCATATATATAGCCTTCTCAACTTCACCAACGATACATAGAGAATCACGAGCAATTAAGCCAATATTGACCATTAAATCAAATGCTCCATTAAAACAAATTTGAAATTTGTCTATTTCATGTATTCTCTTTTAAGCATTATCAAAAATGCATTAACACATTAAGAGAGACATCAAGTGTTTGAATCATCTAATTAATGACAAATGCCAACGTCTTTTTGAAGTCAAAACTTGAGAAGATATATTTTGTGATTATCAATTAATATAGTAATCAAAAATTTGGTTTTAATTTGGCACAAAAAATTAATAAGTATTGGGCTTATAATTTTTTAGCAAATCTCAAATCCAATCTCAAAACCATATCTAATTTTAAATTTGGTTTGGTTTGATATATCTTCTCTATATTACATCATATTGTAATCTCAAGATTTAAAACCTTGTTATGGCTTTTCTATTAGCCTAATGGTCCATTTTTCATTCACATAATCCAATTTCATATCAATTATTTGGCCCATGAAGTCTTATTTAATGTGAGAAAATCAGCATAAGGGTTAATTAGCTTAATATTAGTTTTGGAGTAGATAATTAAGAAACTAACATATGCATAATAAGATTTAGGTATATAGCAAAGAGAAAAAAAGTTGGACGAAATTGTTCTTGCGAAAATTGAGAAAGAAAAATGGTAAAAATCAGACAAATTTTACTTTTAATCCCTTAAAATCTCTTAAAATATTTTAAAGAAATTGGTAAAAATCCTTTAAAAAACTTTATGACATCTTCCCTTTTTTTTACAGAAACAATTACTCTAATCTCTGAAGGAACAAAAATCGAGATTAGTCTTGATTTAGTGATCTTATATGGCAGTATAGTTGACTATATTTCTACTTTCTATGTTGTTGTAGTTAGTTAAAATTTCAACAGATTCAAACGGCTGTATAGTTGACTATATTCCTACTTTCTATATTGTTGTAGTCGATAGATCTCAAAAACAATAAGAAGTTTGTATAGTTGACCATATTCGTATTTTCTATGTTGTTGTAGTTAACTAAAATTTCTACTGTGTATAATTGACTATATTCCTACTTTCGATATTATTGTTGTTAGCTATTCAATTAATAATATCGTTAACTATATAATCTTTACAATCATGTATCTTTTAGTCTATTTATCAAGATAGTTAACTAAATAACACCTGTAATTAAATATAGCCAATTAAAATAGTTCACTAGTTATATAAGAATAGTTAGATATTCAATTTAGTATTGATAAAAAGTAATTCACTATATGAAACATTGTATCGATCCAATTCGATAATTATGCTTTATGGATACATTCACCTTGTTATTGACAAAGCAGTAAACATTCACTTTGGTATTGACGGCTCAAGACCAGAACGAAACAATCGCTTGGATAATTTCAAATTTTTCATATTTTGAGATTTGT